CAGCAGACACGCAAGCACCTAGAGCAGCAGCCTCACCAGCACCTGGGGTAGCAGACACGCGAGCACCTAGAGCGGCAGCCTCACTGGTCCGAATGCCCGGGTCGGGCGGAACACGCAGGTACTGATCACCCTCTCCACTAGTAGACACCACATACATGGCAGTGAGAATAGCATCAAAGTCAAGAGCATAGATATCAATGTTCTTCCTCATCAGCTCAGCCCAGCGGGGCAGCTCAGTGGCAGCAGGGAACTGAGTGCGCCAAGCGTCGTCAAGGCGGGAGAAGCAGCGCTGCGTGGTGTGCGCCCTCCCACACGTCTGGCCAGTGCGGTCACCAGTGCGGATGACGTACGTGCAGCTAAGGCCACCCCCCCCCCCCGTGCTGAGAGTACCACTCACGAAGCTCCTGGGACGACGGAGTATGCTGCTGGCTCTGGCCACCGCCAGTGCCTCCACGACCACCACCGCCGCCGCCACCACCTCGACCACCACCGCCCCTGCCGCCTCCGCGTCCACCGCCGCCCCAACCACCGCCCCCACCCCGGCCACCTCCTCCGCTGCTGCCGCCTCCACCCCCACCGCTGCCACTAGCCCCTCCAGCCCCGCCACCACCCCCACCGCCGCCACCGCCTCCACCACCACCTCCCCCGCCGTCACCTCCACCTCCCTTGCCCCCTTTGCCCTTGCCGCTGCGGCGCCAGCTCGGAGCGGACGCAGTCCCGACCTGCTCAGTACCAACGAGGTCGACAGCAGCAGCAGAGGCGACAGAGGGGAGAAGGGGGGAAGGGGAACACCCCTCGAAGAAAGGGGTGCGGGGGTCGCCACGAGAGGCAGCTACAGCGACTATGCTAGTCTCAGCTGCAAGCAGTTCCTTCTCGAGTAGGTCAACGGTGAGCTGAGTGGGGCAGCGAGCGAGGAAGTGGTCCCTGACCGCACGAAGAGAGTCAGGGAGACGGGTGACCAGGTGGTAGAGAGTGAGCCAGAGTGGGGGAGGGTGCGTGGCAAGAAACTCAGCGGGCATAGCGGCACGGAAGCGGACCTCACTAGTGCGGAGGTGCGTGATGAGGTCAGCGATTGTGGCGAAAGCGGACAGGTCTGGGAACAGGTAGGGGAGCGAGAGATGGCCTAGCGCAGCAGAGGCAGGTGAGGAGTAGCGTGCAACTACAGCAGTGTACAGTGCCTGCGCAGTTTTGTGCTGGCCAAAGTGCTCGCGCTCATCTACCGGCAGGGAGTTGCGAATAGCGAAGCGAGCGTGGGCGTCACGAGTCTGCCACTGTGAGCGGGCAGTACTGTCAGCAGTAGCAGCAGGTGCAGCAGCGTGTCCTAGTGCGTGATCGTACAGCGAGATATCCTCCTTGGCAGTGAGCTGGAGGAACAGGTGCAAGTCGTCTAGCCAGGTGTCAAACTTCAGCGGGCGGCCCTCAGCATCGAAAGCGAGCACAGCAGGGCTAGCCATAGTTGCAGTAAGAGCAGTAGCAGTAGGAGCAGCCGGAACAGCAGTAGCGTCAGTAGCAGTGAAAGCAGCAGTGGCGCGGCTAGGTAGGGCGGCGCGGCTCGGTAGGGCAGCGCGGCTCGGTAGGGCGGCGCGGTTCGGTAGGGCGGCGCGGCTCGGGCCGAGTGGCGCGGTTCGGTGGGGCGGCTCGGCTCGGCTAGGCAGCGGCTACTCGAGGTGGGGCACGCGAGGGCGTGCAGGGCAGAGCGGGGCCGGTCTGCACGGGGCACAAAGTGGCGAGCTAGCGAGGGCGGGGGCCGGGACACGAGGGGCACGCAAAGGCGCGCGGGTGGGTGTGGGCCGGTCGCACGGGGCACGAGGTGGCGGGCTAGCGAGGGCGGGGCCGGTACGCGAGGGGCACGCAAGGGCGCGCGGGTGGGTGTGGGCCGGGCGCACGGGGCACGCAAGGGCGCGCGCTAAGGGGCGGGGCCGGTACGTAGGGAGCACGCAAGGGCGCACGAGGTGGGCGGGGCCGATCGCACGGGGCACGCTAGGGCGTGCGGGCTAGGTGGGGCCGATCGCGAGAGGCGCGCTAGGGCGCGCGATAGTGAGAGAGAGAGAGAGGAGGGCGCTCGAGGGCGCAACTAGGCGAGGCGCGCTAGGGCGCGACTATGCGAAAACAGTGGGCCCTTATCAATTCGGTCCTAGGTTACGACCTAGGCTCGCGATACCATGTTAGAAACTGAGAGAGAACGAGAATGGATGAACTAGCAGAAAGTTGGGTACAAGTAGGAAACCCTAAGTTTGTTGTACCCCCTAAGGCTAAACCCACTATAGCCTACACAAAGTAAACATACAATGTTTGACAGAAAAGCATCCTAAGACGCCAATATTTTTGCATATTCGGGTGGCCCATGTTCAAATACACCTACCAGAGCAACTTCAGACTGGTTCGCGCACACAAAAAAGTTCGGCGCCCGCGACGACGGCCGTGCCTGCCCACAAATGCTAAGGAGGCGCACGTATCCCTATAGGCGTAAGGAAAAGCATCCAACGACCTGAAAATTGTTGCATATTCGGGTGGCCCATGTTCAAACACACCTACCAGAGCAACTTCAGACTGGTTCGCGCGCACAGAGATGTTCCGCGCCCGCGACGACGGCCGTGCCTGCCCACAAATGCTAATGAAGGGCAGGATCCCAATAGGCGTAGGGAAAAGCATCCAACGACCCGAATATTGTTGCATATTCGGGTGGCCCACGTTCAAACACACCTACCAGAGCAGCTTCAGCCTGGTTCGCGCGCACAGAGAAGTTCGGCGCCCGCGACGACGGCCGTGCCTGCCCACAAAGGCTAAGGAAGCGCCCGGATTGTCAGAATGTTATCTTATGCTCTAGCCTGTAGTGGGGTGCTCTATAGCGAGTACAACCCTTCTAGGGTTTGCTATTTGTATCCTCATTCTTGCTAGTGCAATCCTCTTCTTCCCCCTTCTTTCTTCTAAACTTTAACACGGATCCCTGCAGGTGTAAGGAAACGCATCCAACGATCCGAATATTGTTGCATATTCGGGTGGCCCACGTTCAAATACACCTACCAGAGCAGCTTCAGCCTGGCACGCGCGCAGAGAAAAGTTCGGCGCCCGCGACGACGGCCGTGCCTGCCCACAAATGCTAAGGAAGGGCCCGGATCCCTGCAGGCGTAGGGAAAAGCATCCAACGACCCGAATAGTGTTGCACATTCGGGAGGCCCACGTTCAAATACACCTACCAGAGCAACTTCAGCCTGGCTCGCGCGCACAGAAAAGTTCGGCGCCCGCGACGACGGCCGTGCCTGCCCACAAATGCTAAGGAAGTGCACGGATCCCTGTAGGCGTAGGGAAAAGCATCCAACGACCCGAATCTCGTTGCACATTCGGGAGGCCCACGTTCAAATACACCTATCAGAGCAACTTCAGCCTGGTTCGCGCGCACAGAAAAGTTCGGCGCCCGCGACGACGGCCGTGCCTGCCCAGAAATGCTAAGGAAGCGCACGGATCCTTGTAGGCGTAGGGAAAAGCATCCAACGACCCGAATAGTGTTGCACATTCGGGAGGCCCATGTTCAAATACCCCTATCAGAGCAACTTCAGCCTGGTTCGCGAGCACAGAAAACTTCGGCGCCCGCGACGACGGCCGTGCCTGCCCACAAATGCTAAGGAAGCGCACGGATCCCTGTAGGCGTAGGGAAAAGCATCCAACGACCCGAATAGTGTTGCACATTCGGGAGGCCCATGTTCAAATACACCTATCAGAGCAACTTCAGCCTGGTTCGCGCGCACAGAAAAGTTCGGCGCCCGCGACGACGGCCGTGCCTGCACACAAATGCTAAGGAAGCGCACGGATCCCTGTAGGCGTAGGGAAAGGCATCCAACGACCCGAATAGTGTTGCACATTCAGGAGGCCCATGTTCAAATACACCTATGAGAGCAACTTCAGCCTGGTTCGCGCGCAGAGAAAAGTTCGGCGCCCCCGACGACGGCCGTGCCTGCACACAAATGCTAAGGAAGCGCACGGATCCCTGTAGGCGTAGGGAAAAGCATCCAACGACCTGAATAGTGTTGCACATTCGGGTGGGCCATGTTGAAATACACCTATCAGAGCAACTTCAGCCTGGTTCGCGCGCAGAGAAAAGTTCGGCGCCCCCGACGACGGCCGTGCCTGCACACAAATGCTAAGGAAGCGCACGGATCCCTATAGGCGTAGGGAAAAGCATCCAACGACCCGAATAGTGTTGCACATTCGTGTGACCCATGTTCAAATACACCTACCAGAGCAACTTCAGCCTGGTTCTCGCGCAGAGAATAGTTCGGCGCCCCCGACGACGGCAGTGCCTGCCCACAAATGCTAAGGAAGCGCACGGATCCCTATAGGCGTAGGGAAAAGCATCCAACGACCCGAATAGTGTTGCACATTCGGGAGGCCCATGTTCAAATACACCTATTAGAGCAACTTCAGCCTGGTTCGCGCGCAGAGAAAAGTTCGGCGCCCCCGACGACGGCCGTGCCTGCACACAAATGCTAAGGAAGCGCACGGATCCCTATAGGCGTAGGGAAAAGCGTCCAACGACCCGAATAGTGTTGCACATTCGTGTGACCAATGTTCAAATACACCTACCAGAGCAACTTCAGCCTGGTTCGCGCGCAGAGAAAAGTTCGGCGCCCAAGATGACGGCCGTGCCTGCCCACAAATGCTAAGGAAGCGCACGGATCCCTATAGGCGTAGGGAAAATCATTCAACGACCCGAATATTGTTGCACATTCGGGTGGCCCATGTTGAAATACACCTACCAGAGCAACTTCAGCCTGGTTCGCGCGCACAGAAAAGTTCGGCGCCCGCGGCGATGGCCGTGCTTGCCCACAAATACTAAGGAAGCGCACGGATCCCTATAGGCCTCGGGAAAAGCATCCAACGACCCGAATATTGTTGCACATTCGGGTGGCCCATGTTCAAATACACCTATCAGAGCAGGATCAGCTTGGTTTGCGCGCACAGAAAAGTTCGGCGCCCGCGACGACGGCCGTGCCTGCACACAAATGCTAAGGAAGCGCACGGATCCACCCGAATGTGCAACAATATTCGGGTCGTTGGATGCTCTTCCCTATGCCAATAGGGATCCGTGCTCTTCCTTAGCATTTGTGTGCAGGCACGGCCGTCGTCGCGGGCGCCCCGCCCCATCCTCCCTCCTTCCATCACCCCGCCCCATCCTCCCGCTTTCCATCACCCCGCCCCATTCTCCCGCTTTCCATCACCCCGCCCCACTCTCCCGCGTTCCATCACTCCGCCCCATTCTCCCGCTTCCATCACCCCGCCCCATTCTCCCGCTTTCCATCACCCCACCCCATTCTCCCGCTTTCCATCACCCCGCCCCATTCTCCCGCTTTCCATCACCCCGCCCCATTCTCCCGCTTTCCATCACCCCGGCCCATTCTCCCTCTTTCCATCACCCCGCCCCATTCTCCCTCTTTCCATCACCCCGCCCCATTCTCCCGCTGTCCATCACCCCGCTCCATTCTCCCGCTTTCCATCACCCCGCCCCATTCTCCCGCTTTCCGTCACCCCGCCCCATTCTCCCGCTTTCCATCACCCCGCCCCATTCTCCCACTTTCCATCACCCCGCCCCATTCTCCCGCTTCCCATCACCCCGCCCCATTCTCCCGCTTTCCATCACCCCGCCCCATTCTCCTGCTTTCCATCACCCCGCCCCATTGTCTCGCTTTCCATCACTCTGCCCCATTCTCCCGCTTTCCATCACCCCGCCCCATTCTCCCGCTTTCCATCACCCCGCCCCATCCTCCCTCCTTCCATCACCCCGCCCCATCCTCCCGCATTCCATCACCCCGCCCCATTCTCCCGCATTCCATCACCCTGGAAGCGCTCGTTCTGAGCGTTTTTCTTCTGCCGGGTCACCTGGCTGCGCTTGTCTGGGCCTAATGCCAAGCCAGCAAGAGCGTGGGTGGGTTGCAAGCATCATCGGTCATCGGCGCTCGCGAATGATGAGCGCCCGCTGCACCTGCACATGTGCGGATCCTTCCGCGTTTTGGGGCTGGAAGCGCTCGTTTGGAGCGTTTTTCTTCTACCGGGTCACCTGGCTGCGCTTGTCTGGGCCTATTGCCAAGCCAGCAAGGGCGTGGGAGGGTTGCGAGCATCATTGGTCATTAGCGCTCACGAATGAAGAGTGCCCGCTTCACTTCCTGCACATGTGCGGATCCTTCCGCGTTTTGGGGCTGGAAGCGCTCACCCTGAGCGTTTTTCTTCTGCCGGGTCACCAGGCTGAGCTTGGTCGTTGGATGCTCTTCCCTATGCCAATAGGGATCCGTGCTCTTCCTTAGCATTTGTGTGCAGGCACGGCCGTCGTCGCGGGCGCCCCGCCCCATCCTCCCTCCTTCCATCACCCCGCCCCATCCTCCCGCTTTCCATCACCCCGCCCCATTCTCCCGCTTTCCATCACCCCGCCCCACTCTCCCGCGTTCCATCACTCCGCCCCATTCTCCCGCTTCCATCACCCCGCCCCATTCTCCCGCTTTCCATCACCCCACCCCATTCTCCCGCTTTCCATCACCCCGCCCCATTCTCCCGCTTTCCATCACCCCGCCCCATTCTCCCGCTTTCCATCATCCCGGCCCATTCTCCCTCTTTCCATCACCCCGCCTCATTCTCCCTCTTTCCATCACCCCGCCCCATTCTCCTGCTTTCCATCACCCCGCCCCATTCTCCCGCTTTCCATCACCCCGCCCCATTCTCCCGCTTTCCATCACCCCGCCCCATTCTCCCGCTTTCCATCACCCCGCCCCATTCTCCCGCGTTCCATCACTCCGCCCCATTCTCCCGCTTCCATCACCCCGCCCCATTCTCCCGCTTTCCATCACCCCGCCCCATTCTCCCGCTTTCCATCACCCCGCCCCATTCTCCCGCTTTCCATCACCCCGCCCCATTCTCCCGCTTTCCATCACCCCGGCCCATTCTCCCTCTTTCCATCACCCCGCCCCATTCTCCCACTTTCCATCACCCCGCCCCATTCTCCCGCTGTCCATCACCCCGCTCCATTCTCCCGCTTTCCATCACCCCGCCCCATTCTCCCGCTTTCCATCACCCCGCCCCATTCTCCCGCTTTCCATCACCCCGCCCCATTCTCCCACTTTCCATCACCCTGCCCCATTCTCCCGCTTCCCATCACCCCGCCCCATTCTCCCGCTTTCCATCACCCCGCCCCATTCTCCTGCTTTCCATCACCCCGCCCCATTGTCTCGCTTTCCATCACCCTGCCCCATTCTCCCGCTTTCCATCACCCCGCCCCATTCTCCCGCTTTCCATCACCCCGCCCCATCCTCCCTCCTTCCATCACCCCGCCCCATCCTCCCGCATTCCATCACCCCGCCCCATTCTCCTGCATTCCATCACCCTGGAAGCGCTCGTTCTGGGCGTTTTTCTTCTGCCGGGTCACCAGGCTGAGCTTGTCTAGGCCTATTGCCAAGCCAGCAAGAGCGTGGGTGGGTTGCAAGCATCATCGGTCATCGGCGCTCGCGAATGATGAGCGCCCGCTGCACCTGCACATGTGCGGATCCTTCCGCGTTTTGGGGCTGGAAGCGCTCGTTCGGAGCGTTTTTCTTCTACCGGGTCACCTGGCTGCGCTTGTCTGGGCCTATTGCCAAGCCAGCAAGGGCTTGGGAGGGTTGCGAGCATCATTGGTCATCAGCGCTCGCGAATGAAGAGTGCCCGCTGCACTTCCTGCACATGTGCGGATCCTTCCGCGTTTTGGGGCTGGAAGCGCTCGTTCGGAGCGTTTTGCTTCTACCGGGTCACCTGGCTGCGCTTGTCTGGGCCTATTGCCAAGCCAGCAAGGGCGTGGGAGAGTTGCGAGCATCATTGGTCATCAGCGCTCGCGAATGAAGAGCGCCCGCTGCACTTCCTGCACATGTGCGGATCCTTCCGCGTTTTGGGGCTGGAAGCGCTCGTTCGTAGCGTTTTTCTTCTACCGGGTCACCTGGCTACGCTTGTCTGGGCCTATTGCCAAGCCAGCAAGGGCGTGGGAGGGTTGCGAGCATCATTGGTCATCAGCGCTCGCGAATGAAGAGCGCTCGCTGCACTTCCTGTACATGTGCGGATCCTTCCGCGTTTTGGGGTTGGAGGCGCTCGTTCCGAGTGCTTTTCTTCTACCGGGTCACCTGGCTGCACTTGTCTGGGCCTATTGCCAAGCCAGCAAGGGCGTGGGAGGGTTGCGAGCATCATTGGTCATCAGCGCTCGCGAATGAAGAGCGCCCGCTGCACTTCTTGCACATGGGTGGATCCTTCCACGTTTTGGGGCTGGAAGCACTCGTTTGGAGCGTTTTTCTTCTACCGGATCACCTGGCTGCGCTTGTCTGGGCCTATTGCCAAGCCAGCAAGGGCGTGGGAGGGTTGCGAGCATCATTGGTCATCAGCGCCCGCGAATGAGGAGCGCCTGCTGCACTTCCTGCACATGTGCGGATCCTTCCGCGTTTTGGGGCTGGAAGCGCTCGTTCGGAGCGTTTTTCTTCTACCGGGTCACCTGGCTGCGCTTGTCTGGGCCTATTTCCAAGCCAGCAAGGGCGTGGGAGGGTTGCGAGCATCATTGGTCATCAGCGCTCGCGAATGAAGAGCGCCCGCTGCACTTCCTGCACATGTGCGGATCCTTCCGCGTTTGGGGGCTGGAAGCTCTCGTCTGAGCGTTTTTCTTCTACCGGGTCACCTGGCTGCGCTTGTGTGGGCCTATTTCCAAGCCAGCAGGGGCGTGGGAGGGTTGCGAGCATCATTGGTCATCAGCGCCCGCGAATGAGGAGCGCCTGCTGCACTTGCTGCACATGTGCGGATCCTTCCGCGTTTTGGGGCTGGAAGCGCTCGTTCGGAGCGTTTTTCTTCTACCGGGTCACCTGGCTGCGCTTGTCTGAGCCTATTTCCAAGCCAGCAAGGGCGTGGGAGGGTTGCGAGCATCATTGGTCATCAGCGCTCGCGAATGAAGAGCGCCCGCTGCACTTCCTGCACATGTGCGGATCCTTCCGCGTTTGGGGCCTGGAAGCTCTCGTCTGAGCGTTTTTCTTCTACTGGGTGGGTCACCTGGCTGCGCTTGTGTGGGCCTATTTCCAAGCCAGCAAGGGCGTGGGAGGGTTGCGAGCATCATTGGTCATCGACGCTCACGAATGATGAGCGCCCGCTGCACTTCCCGCACGTGTGCGGATCCTTCCGCGTTTTGGGGCTGGAAGCGCTCGTTCTGAGCGTTTTTCTTCTACCGGGTCACCTAGCTGCGCTTGTCTGGGCCTATTGCCAAGCCAGCAAGGGCGTGGGAGGGTTGCAAGCATCATCGGTCATCGGTGCTCGCGAATGAAGAGCCCCCGCTTCACTTCCCGCACGTGTGCGGATCCTTCCGCGTTTTGAGGCTAGAAGTGCTCGTTCTGAGCGTTTTTCTTCCGCTGGGTCATGTGGCTGCGCTCGTCTGGGCCTATTGCCAAGCCAGCAAGGGCTTGGGTGGGTTGCGAGCATCATCGGTCATCGGCGCTCGCGAATGAAGAGCGCCCGCTGCACTTCCTGCTCATGTGCGGATCCTTCCGCGTTTTGGGGTAGAAGCGCTCGTTCCGAGCGTTTTTCTTCCGCCGGGTCACGAGGCTGCGCTTGTCTTGGCCTATTGCCAAGCTAGCAAGGGCGTGGGAGGGTTGCGAGCATCATTGGTCATCAGCGCTCGTGAATGAAGAGCGCCCGCTGCACTTCCTGCACATGTGCGGATCCATCCGCGTTTTGGGGCTGGAAGTGCACGTTCGGAGCGTTTTTCTTGTCTGGGCCTATTGCCAAGCCAGCAGGGGCGTGGGAGGGTTGCGAGCATCATTGGTCATCAGCGCCCGCGAATGAGGAGCGCCTGCTGCACTTGCTGCACATGTGCGGATCCTTCCGCGTTTTGGGGCTGGAAGCGCTAGTTCGGAGCGTTTTTCTTCTACCAGGTCACCTGGCTGCGCTTGTCTGGGCCTATTTCCAAGCCAGCAAGGGCGTGGGAGGGTTGCGAGCATCGTTGGTCATCAGCGCCCGCAAATGAAGAGCGCCCGCTGCACTTCCTGCACATGTGCGGATCCATCCGCGTTTTGGGGCTGGAAGTGCACGTTCGGAGCGTTTTTCTTCTACCAGGTCACCTGGCTGCGCTTGTCTGGGCCTATTGCCAAGCTAGCAAGGGCGTGGGAGGGTTGTGAGCATCATTGGTCATCAGCGCTCGCGAATGAAGAGCGCCCGCAGCACTTCCTGCACATGTGCGGATCCTTCCGCGTTTTGAGGATGGAAGCGCTCGTTTGGAGCGTTTTTCTTCTACCGGGTCACGAGGCTGCGCTTGTCTGGGCCTATTGCCAAGCCAGCAAGGGCGTGGGTGGGTTGCAAGCATCATCGGTCATCGGCGCTCGCGAATGAAGAGCGCTCGCTGTTCAAATACACCTATCAGAGCAGGTTCAGCTTGGTTCGCGCGCACAGAAAAGTTCGGCGCCCGCGACGACGGCCGTGCCTGCACACAAATGCTAAGGAAGCGCACGGATCCACCCGAATGTGCAACAATATTCGGGTCGTTGGATGCTCTTCCCTATGCCAATAGGGATCCGTGCTCTTCCTTAGCATTTGTGTGCAGGCACGGCCGTCGTCGCGGGCGCCCCGCCCCATCCTCCCTACTTCCATCACCCCGCCCCATCCTCCCGCTTTCCATCACCCCGCCCCATTCTCCCGCTTTCCATCACCCCGCCCCATTCTCCCGCGTTCCATCACTCCGCCCCATTCTCCCGCTTCCATCACCCCGCCCCATTCTCCCGCTTTCCATCACCCCGCCCCATTCTCCCGCTTTCCATCACCCCGCCCCATTCTCCCGCTTTCCATCACCCCGCCCCATTCTCCCGCTTTCCATCACCCCGGCCCATTCTCCCTCTTTCCATCACCCCGCCTCATTCTCCCTCTTTCCATCACCCCGCCCCATTCTCCTGCTTTCCATCACCCCGCCCCATTCTCCCGCTTTCCATCACCCCGCCCCATTCTCCCGCTTTCCATCACCCCGCCCCATTCTCCCACTTTCCATCACCCCGCCCCATTCTCCCGCTTCCCATCACCCCGCCCCATTCTCCCGCTTTCCATCACCCCGCCCCATTCTCCTGCTTTCCATCACCCCGCCCCATTGTCTCGCTTTCCATCACCCTGCCCCATTCTCCCGCTTTCCATCACCCCGCCCCATTCTCCCGCTTTCCATCACCCCGCCCCATCCTCCCTCCTTCCATCACCCCGCCCCATCCTCCCGCATTCCATCACCCCGCCCCATTCTCCCGCATTCCATCACCCTGGAAGCGCTCGTTCTGAGCGTTTTTCTTCTGCCGGGTCACCAGGCTGAGCTTGTCTGGGCCTATTGCCAAGCCAGCAAGAGCGTGGGTGGGTTGCAAGCATCATCGGTCATCGGCGCTCGCGAATGATGAGCGCCCGCTGCACCTGCACATGTGCGGATCCTTCCGCGTTTTGGGGCTAGAAGCGCTCGTTTGGAGCGTTTTTCTTCTACCGGGTCACCTGGCTGCGCTTGTCTGGGCCTATTGCCAAGCCAGCAAGGGCGTGGGAGGGTTGCGAGCATCATTGGTCATTAGCGCTCGCGAATGAAGAGTGCCCGCTTCACTTCCTGCACATGTGCGGATCCTTCCGCGTTTTGGGGCTGGAAGCGCTCACCCTGAGCGTTTTTCTTCTGCCGGGTCACCAGGCTGAGCTTGTCTGGGCCTATTGCCAAGCCAGCAAGAGCATGGGTGGGTTGTAAGCATCATCGGTCATTGACGCTCGCGAATGATGAGCGCCCGCTGCACTTCCTGCACATGTGCGGATCCTTCCGCGTTTTGGGGCTGGAAGCGCTCGTTCGGAGCGTTTTTCTTATACTAGGTCACCTGGTTGAGCTTGTCTGGGCCTATTGCCAAGCCAGCAAGGGCGTGGGTGGGTTGCAAGCATCATCGGTCATCGGCGCTCGCGAATGATGAGCGCCCGCTGCACTTCTGCACATGTGCGGATCCTTCCGCATTTTGGGGCTGGAAGCGCTCGTTTGGAGCGTTTTTCTTCTATCGGATCACCTGGCTGCGCTTGTCTGGGCCTATTGCCAAGCCAGCAAGGGCGTGGGAGGGTTGCGAGCATCATTGGTCATCAGCGCTCGCGAATGAAGAGCGCCCGCTGCACTTCCTGCACATGTGCGGATCCTTCCGCGTTTTGGGGCTGGAAGCGCTCGTTCTGAGTGATTTTCTTCCCCCAGGTCATTAGGCTGCGCTTGTCTGGGCCTATTGCCAAGCCAGCAAGGGCGTGGGAGAATTGCGAGCATCATTGGTCATGAGCGCTCCAGAATGAAGAGCGCCCGCTGCACTTCCTGCACATGTGCGGATCCTTCCGCGTTTTGGGGCTGGAAGCGCTCGTTCTGAGTGATTTTCTTCCGCCAGGTCATTAGGCTGCTCTTGTCTGGGCCTATTGCCAAGCCAGCAAGGGCGTGGGTGGGTTGCAAGCATCATCGGTCATCGGCGCTCGCGAATGATGAGCGCCCGTTGCACTTCCTGCGCATGTGCGGATCCATCCGCGTTTTGGGGCAGGAAGCGCTCGTTCGGAGCGTTTTTCTTCTACCGGGTCACCTGGCTGCGCTTGGTTGGGCCTATTGCCAAGCCAGCAAGGGCGTGTGAGGGTTGCGAGCATCATTGGTCATCAGCGCTCGCGAATGAAGAGCGCCCGCTGCACTTCTTGCACATGTCAGGATCCTTCCGCGTTTTGGGGCTGGAAGCGCTCGTTCGAAGCGTTTTCTTCTACCGGGTCACCTGGCTGCGCTTGTCTAGGCCTATTGCCAAGCCAGTAAGGCCGTGGGTGGGTTGCAAGCATCATCGGTCATCGGCGCTCGCAAATGAAGAGCGCCCACTGCACTTCCTGCACATGTGTGGATCCTTCCGCGTTTTGGGGCTAGAAGCGCTCGTTTTTAGCGTTTTTCTTCCGCCAGGTCACGTGGCTGCGATTGTCTGGGCCTATTGCCAAGCCAGCAAGGGCGTGGGAGGGTTGCAAGCATCATTGGTCATCAGCGCTCGCGAATGAAGAGCGCCCGCTGCACTTCCGGCACATGTGCGGATCCTTCCGCGTTTTGGTGCTGGAAGTGCTCGTTCGGAGCGTTTTTCTTCTACCGGGTCACCTGGCTGCGCTTGTCTGGGCCTATTTCCAAGCCAGCAAGGGCGTGGGAGGGTTGCGAGCATCATTGGTCATCAGCGCTCGCGAATGAAGAGTGCCCGCTGCACTTCCTGCACATGTGCGGATCCTTCCGCGTTTTGGGGCTGGAAGCGCTCGTTCGGAGCGTTTTGCTTCTACCGGGTCACCTGGCTGCGCTTGTCTGGGCCTATTGCCAAGCCAGCAAGGGCGTGGGAGGGTTGCGAGCATCATTGGTCATCAGCACTCGCGAATGAAGAGCGCCCGCTGCACTTCCTGCACATGTGCGGATCCTTCCGCGTTTTAGGGCTAGAAGCGCTCGTCTGAGCATTTTTCATTTACTGGGTCACCTGGCTGCGCTTTTCTAGGCCTATTGCCAAGCCAGCAAGGGCGTGGGAGGTTTGCGAGCATCATTGGTCATAAGCGCTCGCAAATGAAAAGCGCCCACTGCACTTCCTGCACATGTGCGGATCCTTCCGCGTTTTGGGGCTGGAAGCGCTCGTTCGGAGCGTTTTTCTTCTACCGGGTCACCTGGCTGCGCTTGTCTGGGCCTATTGCCAAGCCAGCAAGGGCGTGGGAGGGTTGCGAGCATCATTGGTCATCAGCGCTCGCGAATGAAGAGTGCCCGCTGCACTTCCTGCACATGTGCGGATCCTTCCGAGTTTTGGGGCTGGAAGTGCTCGTTCGGAGCGTTTTTCTTGTCTGGGCCTATTGCCAAGCCAGCAAGGGCGTGGGAGGGTTGCAAGCATCATTGGTCATCAGCGCTCGCGAATGAAGAGCGCCCGCTGCACTTCTTGCACATGTGCGGATCCTTCCGCGTTTTGGGGCTGGAAGCGCTCGTTTTGAAAGCTTTTCTTCTACCGGATCACCTGGCTGCGCTTGTTTGGGCCTATTGCCAAGCCAGCAAGGGCGTGGGAGGGTTGCAAGCATCATTGGTCATCAGCGCTCGGGAATGAAGAGCGCACACTGCACTTCCTGCACATGTGCGGATCCTTTCGCGTTATGGGGCTAGAAGCGCTCGTTTGGAACGTTTTTCTTCTACTGGATCACCTGGCTGCGCTTGTCTGGGCCTATTGCCAAGCCAGCAAGGGCGTGGGAGGGTTGCGAGCATCATCGGTCATCAGCGCCCGCGAATGAAGAGCGCCCGCTACACTTCCTGCACATGTGCCGATCCTTCCTCGTTTTGAGGCTGGAAGCGCTCGTTTAAGCATTTTTCTTCTACCGGGTCACCTGGTTGCGCTTGTCTGGGCCTATTGCTAAGCCAGCAAGGGCGTGGGAGGGTTGCGAGCATCATTGGTCATCGGCGCTCGCGAATTATGAGCGCCCGCTGTACTTCCCGCACATGTGCGGATCCTTTCGCGTTTTGAGGCTGGAAGCGCTCGTTCAGAGCGTTTTTCTTCCGTTGGGTCACGAGGCTGCGCTTGTCTGGGCCGATTGCCAAGCCAGCAAGGGCGTGGGTGGGTTGCGAGCATCATCGGTCATTGGCGCTCGCGAATGAAGAGCGCCCGCTGCACTTCCTGCACATGTGCGGATCCTTCCACGTTTTGGGGCTGGAAGCGCTCGTTCGGAGCGTTTTTCTTCTACCGGATCACCTGGCTGCGCTTGTCTGGGCCTATTGCCAATCCAGCAAGGGCGTGGGAGGGTTGCGAGCATCATTGGTCATCAGCGCCCGCGAATGAAGAGCGCCCACTGCACTTCCTGCACATGTGCGGATCCTTCCGCGTTTTGGGGCTGGAAGCGCTCGTTCGGAGCGTTTTTCTTCTACCGGGTCACCTGGCTACGCTTGTCTGGGCCTATTGCCAAGCCAGCAAGGGCGTGGGAGGGTTGCGAGCATCATTGGTCATCAGCGCTCGCGAATGAAGAGCGCCCGCTGCACTTCTTGCACATGTGCGGATCCTTCCGCGTAATGGGGTTGGAGGCGCTCGTTCCGAGTGCTTTTCTTCTACCGGGTCACCTGGCTGCGCTTGTCTGGGCCTATTGCCAAGCCAGCAAGGGCGTGGGAGGGTTGCGAGCATCATTGGTCATCAGCGCCCGCAAATGAAGAGCGCCCGCTGCACTTCCTGCACATGTGCGGATCCATCCGCGTTTTGGGGCTGGAAGTGCACGTTCGGAGCGTTTTTCTTCTACCAAGTCACCTGGCTGCGCTTGTCTGGGCCTATTGCCAAGCTAGCAAGGGCGTGGGAGGGTTGTGAGCATCATTGGTCATCAGCGCTCGCGAATGAAGAGCGCCCGCAGCACTTCCTGCACATGTGCGGATCCTTCCGCGTTTTGAGGATGGAAGCGCTCGTTTGGAGCGTTTTTCTTCTACCGGGTCACGAGGCTGCGCTTGTCTGGGCCTATTGCCAAGCCAGCAAGGGCGTGGGTGGGTTGCAAGCATCATCGGTCATCGGCGCTCGCGAATGAAGAGCGCTCGCTGCACTTCCTGCACATGTGCGGATCTTTCCGCGTTTTGGGGTTGGAAGCGCTCGTTCGGAGCGTTTTTCGTCTACCGTATCACCTGGTTGCGCTTGTCTGGGCCTATTGCCAAGCCAGCAAGGGCGTGGGAGGGTTGCGAGCATCATCGGTCATCAGCGCCTGCGAATGAAGAGCGCCCGCTGCACTTCCTGCACATGTGCCGATCCTTCCTCGTTTTTGAGGCTGGAAGCGCTCGTTTAAGCATTTTTCTTCTACCGGGTCACCTGGTTGCGCTTGTCTGGGCCTATTGCTAAGCCAGCAAGGGCGTGGGAGGGTTGCAAGCATCATTGGTCATCGGCGCTCGCGAATTATGAGCGCCCGCTGTACTTCCCGCACATGTGCGGATCCTTTCGCGTTTTGAGGCTGGAAGCGCTCGTTCAGAGCGTTTTTCTTCCGTTGGGTCACGAGGCTGCGCTTGTCTGGGCCGATTGCCAAGCCAGCAAGGGCGTGGGTGGGTTGCGAGCATCATCGGTCATTGGCGCTCGCGAATGAAGAGCGCCCGCTGCAGTTCCTGCACATGTGCGGATCCTTCCGCGTTTTGGGGCTGGAAGCGCTCGTTCGGAGCGTTTTTCTTCTACCGGATCACCTGGCTGCGCTTGTCTGGGCCTATTGCCAATCCAGCAAGGGCGTGGGAGGGTTGCGAGCATCATTGGTCATCAGCGCCCGCGAATGAAGAGCGCCCACTGCACTTCCTGCACATGTGCGGA